GTGTGTGTGTGTGTGTGTGTGTGTGTGTGTGTGTGTGTGTGTGTGTGCGCGCGCGCGCACGCGCGCGTATGCACGCGTAGGTGGGTGTCAATGACGTAGAAATTAGAATGGGATTTCACGATAAATCACACTAAGAATTGAAAATATGCATTTCATAAATATTTTAATAAATGTATAAAATGTATTTGCCAATTATAGTGAAATCATAATAATATACATTTTTTGTCCAAGGAGGTATAAAAATAGATATTCGATTTTGATATAAAAACTATGAACATTTTAAAATCACCCATCCCATAAGAAAATTAATGTTCGTCATTGGTGTGTGTATGTGTGCGTATGTGTTTATTTTAGTATCTACGCCTAAGAAAAGCTTGAAAATACTTATAATAAGACTAAGACTTGAATTTCCTTATTTCCAATATATTGTCTTAATTAAGATATTATTACATTTTTGTCATATAATTATGTATTATATATTAATAAACATTCAATTATTGTCATACAAATTTTAAATTCCTATTAGGCAAAACTTTTTGAGTAAGTTTTAGTACTTTAAAAATGTGAATCCGGTTGATACTGGACCAGAATTATACTAATTAATAAGTTTTCTGGCAAATTTTCATAGTTGGTATCTAGAATATTAGTAGAGTTCAAATTATTTTGTCAGTTGATTTCAAATTGAATTCATAATGCACGAAAGCATAATAACCTTGTACACATACTTTAGAAAAAAATTCTCTGAAGAAATTTTAACTAGCTTTTATTCAAATTGATACAGTTCATCAAATTTATTATTTTATGAAAATTTATTATTATAACTGTAGTATCTATACTTAACATGTAAGATTAAATACTTTATATGCATTCACTGTTGTCAATTATTGTAGTTGACTTATTAGTATTATTATTTTAAAATAATATATATACCATTAACGATTGGTGCATTACAATATACTTTTGTTTTGTTATTTTGCATGAATAAAGTTTAAATATTTAAATTATATATAGAAAGCCTGTATGTTATTAAATAAATAATACCAAGTATACATAAAGCAAACTATTTGAAGTATCTTAGTATTTAAACATTAAGTTTTAAATAATTATTAAATAAAATATACACCGAAAAAAATATAGGTATCTTAATAGGCTATAAAAGTATAAATTATACAAAAATATTTTAAATATGTATTTTTAAAAAAGTAAAAACGACAAATCGCACATGATGTACTTGATATATAATATTATATATCACATTTATCACATATTACATAATATTATCTTATTATTGATTAATGTTGATGAGTTTTAATATGTCTAAATACATTCAAGAGAAATAAGTAAGAATTATTTGAAGACATAGAGCTCAATTGGTAAAAATTAAAAATTACAATAATATTAAACGTAAATTTCGCATTTTTAAAAGGTTGTAACATTAATTACAAAAGCTATGAATCGTTAAATTTTTAAAAAACATAAATTTTTTGAATAATAATTCCATATACTTGGATTAAAAATGTGATTAATTCTAATAGTTTCTTGAAGTTTACTCACATCTTCTATGAATGTGTTTCGAAAATGATTCATAAAAAATATTTTGTAACAACTTCCTGTCCAAAACAGGCTTACAATAACGAGAAAAAGAAGAAGCTATGTTTTTGTGTGTGTGTGTGTGTGTGTGTATGCTTATGAGAGAGGGAGAGAAAGTTATACACAATTCATAGCGGCGAAAACGGTTCCAAGAATGTTACATGAACATGCGAGTTCTTTTATCTCCCCCATGGCTGCGGCGGCGGCGGCGGTCGCCAGCACCGACATTCGCGTCTGGGTCGATACCGAGTGAAAATCCATAAAACGGTGGAGCTTTGAACCATTCTCTCCGCCCAATCTTGTCACTCGGTTCGACCCAACCCCTTGCATCTATTTTTTTTTTCGCATTCCCTTTTCATCTACCGTCTATCCGCCTGCGGTGGACTCAAAAGAATAACTGTAATAAAAATCATACATTACCGTAATGCTCCAACAGGGTACGCCACTATTATAGTAATACATTAATATTATATTTTTCTTCGATCACCTTTCATTTGCAACTGAAACATAAATCATTTCTCATTATTATCATTTAATAACTGCATCCATAATGTGTAGTCTCAAAATGTTTTAAAATAAAATATATAAACAAAAATTGAACAGTTTTTACGTGTATACCTAATGTTAATATAAAACTAGATAAAATTGGAATATATAATATTAATCATATACCATATGGTTTTTGATCGAGTTAACGTACTATGTAATTTGATTTATTTGTTTTTAATAATACTTAATTTCTACAAAAGTATTGTTACTTTTTAGATATGACCGTATAAAAGTGTTATAATATATTATCTTTAAACATTCAATATAAATAATGAATGAAATATGGTTTTATAGAATATGGTGTTTATAAATATATATTTATATTAATTTATACGTATATTTTGGTAATTTTTTTTGTGATTGTTGTAAAATTTTTACTTCATTTCAATTTAAATATTAGTTAAGTTTCTTAATATACTCGAAGTTAATAATTTCATATGCATTTCTGTTAAGCTATAACAAAAAAATTGTATTTCAACGCTATGGATATAAACGAATGTTTATTATTATCGAAATATAATATTATAAATTTATTGACTTAGGTACTATTTAAATTAATTACAGTACATTTTTTTTAGACATACTGAATTTTTATTTAACTAATATATTAAAATCATATTTTTTTTTTGATAAAAACCTTATAAGTTATTGTAGAATAGTGTTTAATATTCTTAATGTTTAATATAATATAAATACTATACAAAGGTTTTTAGTCCATTAAACATATTATAAATATAATAAAATAATGATAAAAAAAATTTTATTGGATTTGTTTCATAAGTTGTAAAAATTGCATTACATATTAAAAAAAGTGGATTGTTAAGCTTTTATGATCAAAAGATGAATACATTTTATAATAAATAAATTCCAAGTTGAATGTATAATTATAACCGTAATAAAAATAAAAAAAACAATATGTATAATCTATTTACATCTTAATAATATTATTTTTATTTTACGTTTATTTTAATAACTAGTAAAACTATATGGACATTTATATTAATTATTAAATTTTATTATAATTTATCAATATTTAATGTTAATTTTCCAAAAATATATTTTTTTCATAAATTTATAGGTACTTAAAAAAAATTAATAGGTCCACAATATGACATATAATAAGTATATATATATATATATATATATATATATATATATATATCTGACTGGGTTTCTTCATTTATTTTGATTTTTAAATTATTAAAATGCATGTATACTTATACAACCTTTTTATCATCTTTTTATGTCATTTTAAGAATTGTTTAACTTTAATATAATATCAAATTAATTATAATTATATTTTAATCGTTTAAACTTTGAATATATTTGACCTGGAATTACTGGATTTTTGTTTCTATGGTTCTATTTAATATTATTTAAAATCAAATATTCACCAGTTTTTTAATGAGTTTAACTATACTTTAAACATATTTTTTTTACTATGAACATTTTCTTAATACTTTTAAAAGAATCAATTATACATTTATAATAATTAAATAATGTTAGTTATTATATAGTATAACAAGTATTAAACATTATTTCACAATTATAACAATATTCTTAATTATTTGAAAAATACGAAGGTACATAATATGTACCATAATAATATGTCCATAATAAATATATTTATTATGGACATCAGTAGACGAGAATTATGAAAACCGTTCGTTTGATAGTATTAAATACTAATTTCTTAGATTCAGCATTGATAACAGTACTATTACAGTGCAGTAAAAATTGTATATGACACTCTAGTAGTACTACCAGGGGCGCAATTTCAATGAAAAAACTGAGGGTGCTGAAGCCCTTCTATCTTTTTCATGTTTCTTAATGGTAATATACACCCACAACCCGTACAATTCAACAATTACTAAACAATTTATTAAATATTTGAATATTTCTAAATTTAAATTGTTCGCTTTGATTTTATATTTTTATTGCGCATATAATAAATTACCCGTTTGTAAACACAAATATTTCATCACATGATCACTTTCAGATTCTAATTGAAGCAAAGAATATTATGGTTTTATAATGATGTTTGTATTTTATTTTTTTAACACTTTTTCACATAGAAATACTGGTCCAAAAGTTTTTTCTACGAAATGTTTAGATTTTAAATTAACATGCAGTGGTACTTTAATAGGTCATTTTTTTAAAATCTTAATAGTTTTTCTAGGCGTGAGAAAAAAACTGTTTTGAAACGGTAAAAATACGCTGTGAATGAGACTTTCACTTTTCAAATTTTAGTTATTTAGTCACAATTCCAAAAGTAATGTGGCTAGAAGCTTGAAACTTTTACCCTGTAGAAAAGATATTTTTTTTCGTATTTTATAAAATTGTCTAATGGCGATTTCGATTTAAATATAAAACTTTAAAAAAAAATAGGTATTTGTCTATATGAGTCATTCAATATAATGGTTTTAGTTTAGGGATTTCAAAATCTGGTAACCCTACCTATTACAATTTTCCAGTTCGAGGACTGAAAAGACGAAGGACAAACTTCCACCATCATTATTTAAATAATAAATTTATATATTTATACAATAAAAACTCTATTTTTCTATACATAATAAGTAATGAGTATTTAAATGTAAATTAATATGAATACATTTGGGGATGCTAATTTAAAAAATGTGGGTGCTAAGCACACCCAAGCCCCCTCCCCAAATTGCGTCTATGAGTACTACCTACTGTTATTAATGCAGAATCAAGGAAATTAGACGCCCGAGTCTGATATAAATATAGCGCCCTTATATAGTTTGAAGTTCGAGTTATATTCATAACATTTTGTATTTAACCTCATACCAATAGTGCTGCTGTGAATATTGACTACAAGTCTGTGTTTCTCGACCGCTGTGACTCACTGATATGTCATGGTATAGGTCTAAGTCCTATAGGATAGGGTATATATATATACATTATAGTATGTCGTAAGGTATATTAAATGACACAAAATAGCAATTGATATTTGATAAAATGAAGCGTATTGAATTATTATTCAAAATCTATGAATTTAAGGATTCTGATTTAATTATTTCTTACATAAATGAAATATTAATACGCAGATAGATATAATATTTAATAAGATATTTGTTTGATCTTTATTTGAATTTTTTTAAGTCATAAATTATGAAATATTTAAACAAATACTCAATTGAAAAAAAACAGGTGTGATATAGATATTTTCATACTGCAGTTGGCATAATTTAAAATTACGGAAAACAATGATATTTTCCTTTCTTTAAATTGGTATATCCTGTTATTCGCCCAGAATTCAGATAAAAGTAACTAGTCTCAACTTCATTACCAAAGATACTTCTAACAACTGTCTTATAAGTTTCTTAATATGGTGACAAATGCAAATCATCTCGTAAATGCGTCATGTTGATGATATCATCATAGATATGATCAGATATATCATGATCATGATATGATATGATCATACATCATGTTTTTATGTTTGATCTGTGATCGAGGTATGAAATGTGGGTACGGGCGTTATTGATTATGTGTCGTTATTAAAAGATGAATAAAATTATGAAATAATATTCTCATCTAACTTATTGTCATTTTCTAAGTTCGAGAAAAAAAGTTGAATTATCTTTCAACTATATAAAATGTAAATATTATAAAGATCAATTCAAATCATTGATTCTTTGGAAATCTTAAGCGATCGAAGACCTTACGGAATCAGGAAATTAAAAAACTAAAAAGATTGAAATAATTTTCAAAAGACCAAATATACAAAAATGTCTAAAAGTTAAAAGGCTATAATGGATATAACACGTAAGGTGGGCAAAGAACAAATGTATATATAAGCTTATAATCAACAAACCTAACGGAAAAATGACCAAGAGGCAGACCTCGCTAGATGATGCCGATGATCGGGGAGTATGGAGAGAACTCGTGGAAGCGGCGAAAAGCCTCTCAATGGCTTGTAAGTGTCAAAAAATAAGAGCAATAAAAATAAGCGTCAATACGTATGCATAATATGAACGTTATTGTGAATATTTTCAACGTCAATTGCCGTTTGATTACATTTATATAACGTGTTTTGTATAAACTATCTGTGTTGTCGTCGCGCGCGCACCTAAACCGAATGAAAATGCGTTTGCGTTTTATAACCGCGTCGAGTGGAACGTTTATCGTTAGCGGCGGCGTGAACGATTCCGACGTACAGCTCTGTTTTAGTTTTTTATTTTTTCATTTTTTATTTTGTTTCATTGCGTTGTCGGCAGCAGCAAGGACGAGGGACGGAAAAATGGCCGCTTACGTCGGTATCGGTCGGGTGCGGAAATAATCGACGACTGCCGTAACCGTCGTCTATTGGTCGGCGAACACGCCCACACGTGGTTCACTCCGCCGCCGCCGTAGCGATTTTTACCGTCTCTCGCGTGCACCCTTCTCGTCGTCGTCGTCACCCTCGCACGCACTTTATTATTATTATTTTTATTACTATTATCATTATTTTTGTTTTCCCCCTTTCTTTCATTTTACCGCTCTTCCTGCCACTGCCGCCGGGCACTAAACATACACAATACGCACATTTTCAGTTCTAAAAGATTGCGGCCGTCGCACACGATTCTTCATCAACGCTGTACCTACAAGCCGTGAAAACCCATCCCTGAAACGAACGGACCCCGACTGATGCATTTGCGGGACGTATAGTCCGAGCACATAGCGATTCATCAGCATTTATACCTAGTCACCTGTTTGTCCAACCGTTGTTTACACCCCCACATAATAGGCGAATATTAGATAATTGTATCGCGAAAAATGGTAAACGTTGCGAAGAGTAAAGTATTTTTTCTTGTTAATGGTGAAACACAAGTTTGAAAGTCGCTTTAAATGTCAGTGCATGAAGTCACCTTTAGCAGTTAACGACTCTGTACTGCGATCCGTGTATTCAAGATGTAGTCTCCTATAGAAAAATAGGGATGGGAAAAAATAGAATCACCTTTTACATATTTATAGAATTTCATTGCTGACCTGAACGTGCGTGTGCTGCGCGTATCCGACGGAAGTTTTACGTGCGATGATGTCAGCTTAACCTTCCTGCGGCCAAATCACCCGAAACCAATTTAATTTTAGCATTAACAATAATGTATAAACATTATACTAATACCACCTAATATCACTGACAAAATATAATTTATGATTTAACATCTATTAGAACTAAATCGTCATGTGAATTCAAATTTTATTTGTTCGTATAAAAGTACCTATACCTTTTAATGTTCACTATTTCTAACATTTCTGGCTGATAAAAATCAATATATAGATACATATTCAAATTTATAACTTTGATTTGTTAATGTTCATGATATGTATTACTATAACAATGGAAACTAAGCAATTTGTTAAATATTATTTTTTTAAAACGACAACTGTCTTCAATAATATTGTTGGTATAGATATCGGACTCATAGATTTTTGTTGAGTGTAATTTTAAAATCAACAATAATATATCATATGAAGTCCATACTTTTGATACTAACATTTTTATAAGCACTCGATATCTATATCGCTGTTGCACTTGAAAATATATAAATCCTTAATAACCTACTTTTTAAACTTATATATTTAGAAATAAGTGTATTGTTTAAATAAGTTCATGGAAATACTTTGAGTTTAGTTTACATTCATAATAGTTTCATTATTAATATTATCATATTCTAATTAAATATTCAAAAAAATACCTTTAATAAGAATTTAGACCAAACTACACGGCTTCGGTTAACTTTAGACCATATTCAGACCCATGGTGACTATGTCATAGTCTGATTCTTGAGTTAAATCGTCTAAAAGTCATATTAACTATATTCTTTATGCTGACATTAATAATTTACCGTTATTTTTGCATTCAAATTTGCGGAAAGAATTTGGTATATATATTAGGTATCCTAATTAAAAATAAATACTTTTGTTTCTATAATATTTTCTAGTTTACGATTCTTGTATTCTAAAAAATAATTAATTTCAATATTTCTGATTATAACTCCTATATTTTAAATTATAACTCTTATTATACTTGATTTATGAATAGTTATTTTTCTTATAGTATGTCTTTATTCGGTGTGTAAATTTTGTCATAAAAATGATAAAAATATATAACTAAAGAACAGTTGACGAATTAAAAATTTGATTCTTTATAAGTGTAACGTTTATGTAAATGTATTTTTACGTGGCAAAAAAATGTTTATCAATTTAACTAATAATCATGATTAATTCAAAATGCTGAGTTGTAGTTAAAATTGTATTAAAAAGTAATTTACTATTTTGTTAAAAATGTATTATAATTCTAATTGCAGTGCGTTAGTAACACTGTTATTTACTAAATAATATTTGTTTATAGGTATTATAATGTACAAAATATGTACTAAATATTATTAGTTTTCATTATTAAATATACTGATTAGTTTTCAAATTAATTTCTGTACGAATCTCCATTAATTAAGTCAATGGGGTTATTTAAATTATTCAATTTAATATGTAAAAAAGTAAGCTACCTAATAACTATAAAATATTATATATTACATTTAAGTTAAAATCCTTCGTCAAAAACGTTAATGCTAAATAATTTATTTTCACAATATGATAATGTTTAATGTAACATACGATCATCAAGTATGCTTTTTTCCCTCAAATAAATCATTAAAAAAAAAAAAATAAAAAACAAGGAATACCTACTGATTCAATATTCTAATAGCTATCCCAATAAATTTTCTACCATTCAACGCATTTTAATATATATATAGTTAACATTGCAGATATTCCTACATCCGAGTTGTCTCAATAAACCATTGAGTAATGCATAAAAAATGTAATATATATATTAATATGTATTTGCGCTTTTTAAGCTGTACACATCTGTACAAGTATGTACTAACAACCGATCTGAACACTCGGTTTTTTTTCATAACATGTCAGAGTTGCGTTCACTACAATAATTGTTATTTGTGTACATTTTTTCTCGGGACAAAATACGTGATGAACAATTGTAAATATAAATATAGGAGATTAGAGCCAAGTCTTATATTTGATGGATAGGTACCTTTTATATAAGTATAGTACATGTTAATAAAAATTAAATCTATACTGCGACACCGATTGTTTAATTTAATGAAAAAATTGACATTCTTAGCGGAAAAAATAAAAAATCATATAATATATAAATGAGGAAACGTTTTCTTTCCAAAAATGTTTAATTGTAATGTATATTGTAATTATATTTTTTTTTTAATAATAGATGATGGATTATTATTTATTATATATTTATTATATTATTTTAAGTTTCAATAAAAACTATATATGTTATATTTTTTGACGACATTGTAGAAGTTTTGAGTAACTATTAGATAATAATCTAACTTAATTTTATAATATTACTTAGCACTGTGATCATGTAACCTAAACCGTATACTTAACAAATTAGATAGTTTAGAAAGAAGGAACAAGATTTGAAAACATTATCTATTATGATAGTTGTTAGTATATCATAATTTATTTAGTACGATAAATAATATTCAAAATATATTAGTATAATTTATCTTATGGTTATTATTAATTATCAAATAATAAAATTATGTAATTATACTCAGTAAAAATAAAAAGAATTGTGTAATTTTTTATAATTTCCTACAACGCAGACACAAAGTATCTGACTTATCTATTGTACTAACAAAAAATGTGGAATACGAAACAGAACTTACCTTTGATCGTCGTCAACTGCGTCCATAGCGCATCTACTGTCGTCATCGTTGTCGCCGTCGTAGTGGGATTGATACAAAAACCGAAACAAACCGTCCTAGTGGCTTATATAGGGCCGCGAAAAATTATAATATCTTTCTATCCTTTATTATAATATGTTCTTATATTGTTTATGTATATATAATAACGCATTTATATATGTATACTTATAGGGGGTGTATAGTCTCTCACGGTGCAGACTGTTACCTTTTAGTGGGCTACCGCCTGCGCCAGGACCGGTTCGCCTGGTCCATAAACGCCCCGACGACTCCCACGGTGTCCGTATTATCCACCCTCCCGCGCGAACGTATCTTCTTCCCACACATACCCACACATACAAACACACACGCACGCACACACACACATACACATATATAAATTCACTCGCATGGGTGTTCTATATTGTTGGCGTCGGAATCACACCGTTTGAGGCACCCACCCCCGAACCGGGTAGTTTACCACCACCACGTCCTCACCTTACATCTCGTCTATGTCCATATGGAAATTCAACGGAGATTTTGCAACCAAGAGGACCGGTTTTTTTGAGACCGTTTCTTCAACGGATTTCCCGCCAAAATGTTTTCTACACATCTGGACCCACGCGCTTAAAATAATTGGCAACGTATTCTCGTTAGTTATATATTTATATACATGTACGTATGTAAATATTATAATATATCGTCATTATTATTATAATTTATTTTTTTATATTTTAACGACTCCATTCCGGTTAAGTGATGACTGTTAGGAATAAAAAGAAATATTGGCCAACAAATGCGACTTTGGACGATTTAAAATTTACCCCATCGTAAATAACGCGATGCTGTTTAGTTCATGTACAATATATATATATAAATATACTATTATTATTTTAAATACTGTTGGTCTATGTGATTTTGATCAATAGGGTTACTCCGATTGTTAATTTTTTTTTTTTTAATAAAAAATGTTGCATTACTTGGGGTTTTCGGGAAACCAATTTTTTGAATTTCCAAATGATTAACCAAGTAAACTCTTGTATATTGACATTTATATTTAAAAACTGATATACAAAGCAACACTGCAGTTTTAATTTTACTACCTATCTAAGAAAAGAAAGAAGTTACTAAACATGTTATTCAAGAAAAAAATATATCACATTTTCTAACCTATTGATTTACCATTGATTTGATCTTACTCAATATATATATATATATATATATATTAACTTGTTTATTTATATCAGTTACAACTTGTGACATATTGATGTAACACAATAAAAGTAGCTAATATTAGTTGATCTGTTGACGTTTAGTATTAAAGAATACTATTTTTATTACGAAAATACTGGAGTTAAATTTAATGCACTTCACGTCAATTCAAACGCATTATACTTAACTAAGTTAAACCTTTACTAAGATAGTTTAATACCTGTAAATTATTAAATATGCTATTCTAAGAATGTTAGGAATAAGAATTAAAACAAATCATGTGCACATCGGCACAGTAAAATGTTCTTTATATATAATAAAATATTTACAATTTAAATAACAAATTATATTTTAAGACCAAAAAAAAAAAAACTAATCATTATATTTTTCTTTGCGTTAAGGACATACATGTATTGATTTACAAATCAAATTATTAATGTATGTGCATAATTAAAGAATTTATTTAAAATATTAATTTTATTGTTTCAGCCGATACAGGATAAATATTTTTTACATCCACTAAAAAAAAAAAGTTTTATACATGTATAATATAAAATAATTCTTATAATTATTTCTTATTCTAAAAGTATTGTTTCGTATAGATCATATTTCGTTGCATCTGTAATTCATGTCCAAGTGAAACATTGCATATGTAATATTCTAATATATTGTTTTAAAATCTGTAACATAAACATTTCAATATTTAGAATTTATTTTGTACAATCGTAAATAAATACATAAATATTCAATACAGGTACAACTATTCTATATTCTGTTACCTAGTTATTTTACTTATATTGTATATACAATATAAAGTTAATATATTTAAATATAAAAATCCATTCATATCATTTATTTAAAATGTTATCAATAGCTAAAATAAAAATATAATTAAAACATTTGATGTTTAAATCATGGTAACAATTTAAGAATGATGTAAAATTTTTGTTTAAACAAAATAATATTACATTTTATTTCTTTGGAGATTAATAATTTTTAATTATTAATTAAATAATTATTAATATTATTATTATTATTAATTATCAATAATTTATTGATAATTTTTTGTGAAAAAATAGAGTCCTATATGAGATGCATTACATTGGGTAATTTACATGTATCATAAGATATAAATTATAATAATTATTAAATTCATATTGTTATAAAACTTTTACATATATTTTAGAAAAAAAAAACCCAAAATAATCGAAAATGTACGTACAAAGAAAAAGAAGCTTTGAGAAATCATATAAATTGTATATTATGGGATTTCTAGAATTTAAATACTAATTTTTCTTATTTTAAGTAATTAATTTGATCTAGATATTCGATATGATTAAATGTTTTTTATAATAATGTTATCGATGTATATACATAGGCACGCTGTGTTGGACTTAATATTTAAGTAAGATTTGTTATAAGATAAAAGTTGTTTTATTTAAACGATAGTGTTTATTAATTACCCAATTCATTTATATTGTTAGACTATACTAATCTAATAATATAATAGACATGTTAATTTATCATAGTACGGCAAGTAATGGTTTAGTACTAACTACAGTGTAATACCAATTATTATCAATACACGACGATGATCAATCTTATAACTAAAAAATAATCACAAAAACAATACATGCATAATACTATATTATAAATACAAAGGTAACAAGTTAATTTATAGCTTTAATGATAATTACCTAGATGTATAGTATTAATTCCTCGATTATACTATTTAAATGCTTAGGAGTATAAAATATTAACTCTCTGATTTAAGTTTTAACTATATATATATTTATCACTTGTCATATTATTACATGTGGTTTCATAATATTTTATGTAATTTTACAACTGTGAAGCAGTGTAATAAATTAAGTTGATGTAGAAAAATAATATAAATTTTAATGAACTGTGTACACCAAATTAGGTATTCCAAATAAATGTAGTGAATTATATTATACATATTTATTTGTATATTATTATAAATATTAGGTCAAAGAGTATTTAATATATATTTATAATATAGATTATTTCAAGAAGTGTTACTGTGAATTATTAGGAATTATTATCAGTGTTATGTCCATGTGTGTTGATGTGGTCAATCGTGTTTACACAGGGAATGATCAAAGTTTATTTTATTTTTTTTTTTTACTTTTTCGAGTTCAGAGATTTATGTCGCGGGGGAGTATAAAAAACATTAAAATGTTGCCTGATAAATACGAAACGCAAGGGACGAGAAGACCCAACCAAAAAAATATATATATACATATGCATACATAACCCTTCTCTACTTTTCAAGCCCACCAGAATTCCACACGTAATAGCTAAAGTTCTGCAGAGTCGATTTACGTTTGGCGACGCAGTCTGAGCCCTGTTGGGAATTAATGAATGTCGTTATCTGCTGGGTCCGTGTCTTCGATTTTTCTAAACCCCTCCAAGGCACTTCGCCGACCCTCATTGGCCAGAGGATGGTACCGAAAAAGGGTATTATATTATATAAAACCAAAAAAAGGCTTCAGGGAAGCGAAAAAAAGCTCGAGTGGAAAAATGAGAGAGAAAGAGAAAGGGAGACAGATAAAAACCCTTTTTGTTGGCTACGAAACAAAACCGACTGGGTTATCTTGAGGCACTTCTGGCAAAATTGAGTGGATCCTTTTTCCACAGTTTTTTAGTTTTGTTTTGTTTTCCCCGTTAATTTATATCAGAAGTACAAACTGAATTTCTGAGGACCAGTACTGTGGTATTGACCAAATTAAACAGAATACCGTAAAAAAAAAAAAAAAAATTAAAATTAAATGGGGACGGTGGTAGCTATGGTGCAATTGGAAAGAGAATCGGCTGACGTGTAATTGAATTATTATTCATAGAACATTATGCAAATCGTGGGATGCGATGCGGATGTGGAGACGAGTTTCGGGTAAAAAGCGAGCTTTACAAATGAAAGATAGAGGGTACAACTGAGGGGTCGGGAAACTACTACAGTTAAGGGTTATGAAAGGAAGAAAAAATCGAGAGTGAATTTTACTGAAAGCCTGCGCCGGAGTCAGCGTTCATTACGACGCAATGTCACATACATACTACATGCTTATATATGTATTTGTATAACAGTACATATATATGCATTGTGATATATTTAATAATAATTAAATAAAGCATTTATGAATATGCGAAAGAATTGTTAATTGGTTTTATTTTATGTTAAGTAACATTATTTATGTTCTAATACTTAGGCATAATTATTTTTCCAAATTATATGCGTGTAAATATTAGAAAAATTTTAATAACATGTGTATTTACTTATTGCCGAAGACTTGATTAAGGTATTATATATAATTATTTTCCGTCTATAAAATTTAATTTAGAAATATGATATAGAAAGAAATGAACTATTTGAAATGTATACCGATTTTAATTCGCTTCCTACATTTTATAGGACAAATAGTTAATAAATTATATTACGCTTAAACTTAAAACTACAAACCGTTGGATTTAATTATTAATTGTTTTATTTTTTTAATATTCAAAGTTTTATATTAATAAAATTTTTTTTTTACCTAATTTTCATGTATAAAAAAATGTATTATTTATTTTTAATCAGTAGTAATATCCGTACTTAAGTCTTTTGACTAAATATGTTAAATACGTAAACGTAATTTACTCTCGTTTGTACGTATTTGTATACATTTACTATGGGCATTAAAATCCTTTGAATTATTTACAACGAGATGGTATTTATATATTTTATTTATACCGTACGAATTTTTGTTTTAAAATTTATCGCGAATTCTTGATAATAAAAACGCAGTGCCAATACTACAGAATTTCGTTGACTGAAAAAAAAACAATAAAATAATAAGTTGTGTTGTAATATATGTGTTAAAAATATTGAAAACACATTTTAGATCAATTCGTTTTCACATCATCGTTAATAGTAGGGATTTTTAAACGCCAACATAAGAAAT